ACCTTATCAGGACGACCACCATATCACCCTCTGATAGCTTCACAGAGTAATAAGCACGCTCTGCTTGGCTCATCTTTGTCTCTCGCTAAACACACCAGGCTGTTGTTGTTGTTGTGGTTTTTCAAATAGGTGTATGGAGAAGGATGCTAAATAAAACCATGTGGGGATGACGAGAGGAAAGCTTAAAGAGACAGAGAGAGAGAGAGAGAGAGAGAGAGACGGAGGGGGGTTAAAGAGAGAGAGAGAGAGAGAGAGAGAGAGAGAGAGAGAGAGAAACTACAGGGAACTCTTATTTTCTTCTCTAGAGGACAACAACAGCAGTCTCAACAACAAAAGGAGCCAATATCCTACAGCAGTGCCAGTACCTCACGGTGATTAAAACATGGCTGCTGCCCCAGGGGCCTCCAGCGCCTTGCTAACTGATTAGGGAAAAAAGGTGGGAAAACAAAGGAGTCTCATATAGAGGTCAACAGGAGGGGAGGAGATGTGGACCATAGATCTGTTTCTCCACCTTCTCTCTCTTTCTCCACTACCACCTCATCCTCCTCCTCCCCTCCCTGTGGCTCTCAGTCTAGATTGGAAAAGTGATAAATATGCATGAGGTTGGCTTCTTAACGTAAAGGAGCTTTGATGGTTTTAAGGTGGAGAGTCCTCCATCTTGGAGATTGAATGGGGTCGGAGCTGAGGGGTGGGGGGTGGTGTTTCCTAGTGGGGTGGGAGAACAATATGTGGTTTTTAATGAGCTGGACAAACTTCAATCATGCTGTGTGTTTAGATTGCTTTTATTGTGTATAGACAGGTTTGTCCTGAGAAAAACCGTTGAATTGAAATCATTGAGGACGTTTTTTTACCTTTACACCGTAACCTTCCATAACGTGTTAAAAAATAAAATGCAGAACATTGTTTCAAATATAAGAAAAATAGAAAAGTGTGTAAACAGTAGATGTGTAAAGGCATAAAAAGAGGCATTAACGAAGCAGTCCTCAATAAGTATTGACTCAATGAGTTTTCAAATACACAGTTATATGTGCAGTAAAATGCTTGAATGCTCGCTCTGTAGACTGTGAAAAGGTAAAATGGAAATAAACAAACGATTTTCAGGAAGCCTGTGGTGAACAGCAGGTTTCTGTTTCAGATCAGTGAATAGTCTTCGACCCTAAGCCCCTTTTCCCTTCCACTGTTTGGCTGTAGACCACGTTTAACTTGAAACTGAAATATATAAGCCGTTTCAAAGTCAGGACCAGATGACTCCCAGCCGAAAGGTTCTGCATTCAAACCCCAAGTTTCTGCAGCCTAATCTGTAGGCATCTTTGAGTAAGATGCTCCTAACCCCTACCTGCTCCTTAATGACTTGCATCTCAATCTGGGCATTTTGGTTCATAACAAAATAGTGATAGTTTCAAGTGTATATTAAAAGAACAATCCACAGTCAGTAATGGTAATGAGGTGCTTGAATCCCAGGTAACTAACAAGTAACCAACAAGTGAATGGAAATGAGAATACATTTCATTTTTTCAAACAATCATTATTTACAAGGAAAGATTATGTAGAGTCACACTCAACCATTATGTTGTTCTTATACGTATAATGGCTAGTTCCGGTCCTTGATTCTGATTGGCTCGAACCTGTAAAATACTATAAAGACACACCTGTGACCACATAACTATTATTTTATTAGTATTAATGCGCCTGTGTTGCTTGGCAAATCTTTAGCTGTCTTGAGGAACTATATTGCTTGGTGGAAGAATGATGATTTGTTTTCAATAAATGATCGCATTTTATGTTGTTGTGTGTTAATTTTCTGAAATCTTGCTAGGTAGTCACCATTTTAGTAACCGTTTGAGGACGTATCTGTTAACTGAAGGCCTCTCGAAACAGAAGTCAGAGTGCTATTTGATTCACACAAAGCGGGATGAAAATGAGGACGAAGACAACCATAATGAAGTTGTTGGAGTGAGGCCATATATGTTCAAGCCGACCGGCAGTGCTGCTGGCGAAGGAGAGACGAAGAGAAAACACAGGGATATTGATGTAAAAATACTCAAAAAATATTTTTGTTTACATATTTTTGGCATATAACAAGAGATAAATGCACAATTAACACAGGAACACAGGATTAACACTGGGAATATGTTTAATTTCATTGGTCCTTTAAAGCCCACAGTAGGGGGCTTATTGCTTAATCCTACTGCTGTATTTATTTGTATTCTCCTCTCAGATTTGCAGGTGTCCCAGTCTTTCGAGCACTACACCCTGTCACACGGGGCGGCCGACTGCAGGATCCTGCACGTGGACGAGGACCAGGACCGCATGTACGTGGGCTGCAAAGACCACGTCCTCTCCATGGACATCAGCAACATCACCCAGGGCACACTCAAGGTCTGCCCCGACCCGCACACACCTTGCACCACACACACCTTGCACCACACACCGTCCTCAACCACACACGCACATCGGTGAGAACTTTGAGATGTCTTTTCAAACTGATATGATAGTGTGATGGCTAAGTTGTGTTTGACTCCTCAGCCAAAAGGTACTGGGTTCGATTCCCCTCAATGCAATGTCCACAGCCTAACCTTATAGGCATCCTTGAGAGTTAACATGGTTGGAGGTGTGGTAGCCTAGTAGATGGAGAGACAAAGAGAGGGTGGGGGAGAGGTGAGTGGCCAGGGGTGTTTTGCTCCCAGCAAAATGTTACTGGGTTCAATACCCAATGTCCATATTGAAAAAGGTGCTCCTAAGCCCTACCTGCTCCTTATTGACATCTGTACTTATCTGGATAGACAGAACGTCACTTTGACTAAGTTGACAATATTAAAATGCAAAAACACCGTTCACACAAATTGAGCGTCTTGTATGAAATCAACCCAAGAGGATGGCATCGTCTGCGTTATGCTAATTGCTATGTATTTTACCACGATCAGAGCCTTTTAGGGGGGGCTCGTTAGGAGCACATAAGAGTACTTTACACAGGATTGGATAACTTCACTGCCATGCGATGGAAAGGACTCAAGATCTCTCTGATTCGGCATGCAGCCAGGGAGATATTCTCCATGTAATTGACAAGCGTGAGGTGCGCAAACAGATGGGGAGAGCGTTTACATGTCCCTGTGGAGACCACTACCAGATCCATACTGCATAGAGTAAATTGCCTGCCCATATTCCATTCAAATGGACCTTTAAGCACCTCGTCTGTCTGAAACGGCTGTGACGAGACATTGTGCGTGGTTGTTTTTTTGCACGCTTCAATGGATGATGATATGCTTGGTTTTTTCTGGTTTCGCAATTCGCTTTGGATAAAAGCATCTGCTAAGTGACAACATGTAAATGTCAAATCTTTTTTCATGTAGTTTCATGTAGATTTTTATGAGAGCCTTAATTATGTTGCATTTCTCTGCTGCTGCCTGTCTTCTGTTTTCTGGCTACTGGTGAAGTGTATTTATCTAGCCGACAGTACTGTACTGTCTCTGTATCTCTGAGATGTCGAACGGTTATGTATAACTATAGGCTTTTATTACAGAGGTGTAATAGTAGGGGTGAAAACAGGTGTATCTCATTAAGGTAATGATGGGTCTGTTGGCATGCCAGTGCCAACAGACACACCTGTGTCCACCCCTACTATTACACCTCTGTGATAAAGGCCTACTTTGATTCTGAAAGCTAATTTGTACTCTTTCCAGTGTTTTTTTTAGACTTGTTTTTGGTAGTTGTTGTGAAATGTGTTATGCTCTGATTGTTCACAGCTTCACCTGTATGTAAATGAGAAATGGCCCCCAGAAAAAATCGACCAAAACCCTTGGCTTGCTAGGAGTGCAGATGGTGCCGGAGGGTTTCATGTGTACTGGTTCCTTATCTGGTTCTGTTTCCCTCACCAGGTGTTCTGGCCTGCCTCCCCAAGCAAGATAGAAGAGTGCCAGATGGCCGGGAAGGACCCTACGGTAAGTAACCTTATACTGGTCCCATGGTCATCATCAACCATGTAGCACATGGGAAACACCATTCATTACAGACACAATTAATTTTTCACCATTTTCCCTCATTTCCACCGTCATTATCAATTCACCTGCTGGACAAAGTTTGCTACAAAACTCTTTCGTTTTTTGTGTCAGGTGTCAACTTTAACACTGTAACTTTTCATCAACATACTTTTTTGTTCACGCTCATATAGAGCGTGCTAACGGGTTAACACACAGCTAGCTCATATGTTTTGGGACTTTTGCACAATCCCGAAGGATCAAATCCTAAATTTTGTCAGAAGTGATATATTACAGGGGTAAGATACACTCTGAACTGTCTTTGTAAATATATTATTTCCCACTTATGTGGACTTGGAGAGACATGGCCTTGTAGAGAACAGCTGATCCCAGATCCTTCAAGTCTTTTAAGAATGTTCGTTGGTCCTCCGCCTCCTCGTCCCCCATCACCTGTGCGCGTGACCCATGGGTCTAGTCTTGGGACTATCCAGAGCCAGTGAGCCAAGCGCTAGGCTGCTGGGACCAGATGTCTACAGGGTCTGAGTGGCCCCCACTTGGCCCTCAGAGGCCCGTTTGTCAAGCAGATAATGAGGCGTAGGAGTCGGGAGCAGAAACAACAAACAAAAGCATCAAAAGCCCACTAAATGGACCAGAGGTCATTTCCAACGCTGCCTATAGAATTTGTAATCCATGTCCTTGATTGAATTTATTTATCTAAATCCTTTTTTTACTCCCAACCGAGCGTCTCTAGCTGTCTTTAATCAAGCTTAATGAAGACATGAAACTAATCCCTCCACCATCTCTCCATTTCGCTGCTAATTAACGAAGCAGACAAACCGACAAAACCCTACATTCATCTACTGGAACAGAGAGAAGGAAACAAACAGAACAAAAGAAAAAACATTAAAAACTATTTTGAGAGAACATTTATTTTCGTGTTCTCTTGGCACAGGAAGGTCAAAAGTTTTAAACCCAGTAACTGGCAGGAGGAGCTGTTTACACCAATGTAACACCAATGGAGCAGGATAGTCTAGTGGCTATATGGTGTTTGACTACCAGCCAAAAGGTATTGGGTTCGATCCCCAATGTCCACAGTGTACCTTTAGGCATGAGGGAGACGGCAGAAGAGAGAGTGTGAAGAGAGTGAGTTAGGGAGGGGGACATAGAGACAGTACCAGAGTTGGCTGGGTGGATGTGTGGTAGCCTAGGAGAGAGAGAGGTAGAGTTTGCATGGTGGATTTGCACTGTGTGAGCAGCTGCTGCTGTCTCTACAGCGTTGGCCAAGTTCTCAACGTTTCCCTGGACCCAGCTGCTCTTCTTCTCTTCTCAGTCACCCTACGCTCTTAATTCCCCCCCCCCCCCCCCCATCCACCTCTTAATTTCTCCCCCTCTTCCCTCTCCTTCGTCCCCAGTCCTCTACTCCTCAATCTACTCCTCCCCCCATCCACCTCCTCCTTTCTCCCCCCTCCTCAGTCCCCTCCTTCTACATTCTTAACTCCCTCATCCACCTCCTCCTTTCTCCCTCTTTCCAGTCCTCCCCTCCTATGCCCCCCACCACCACCACCACCTCCTCCTTTCTCCCCTCTCCTTCTCCTCAGTCCTCCTCCTTCTACGTTCCACTTGGAGGGGGGGGGTCGGATGTATACGGCAAGATGGTTCACTGGTGGTGACCCGGTAATATCACATTCACCCCCTTCACAAGAGTCTCCTCACTGGCTAGGAGGGACCCCCGAGTTACCTCACGCCTTGGAGGTAGCCTGGGGGCCAGCAGAAGGCTGTCAGGGGGTCCCTGGCTAGGGGGGGGGGGGGGGTCAGCAAGGAAACTCTAGTAGTGCCAGTGGGGGCATTGAGGTTTGATTTGTGAAGCGTGTGATGAGCGTGACCAGGGATAAGTTTGAATTACACGGGGACCGGCTGGAACGAGATACGCTTGTGATAAACAGGCTCTTGATTTCGGAGTGTGGCGGCCATTGGCTCTGGACCAGACCCCCCCCCTCTTCCTTTCTTCTGGTATCTGATGTAGGAGTCTGGTAGAGGAACGCACGTGATTGGAGAAAATGCTTAAACTTTAAACTCATATTACTTTAATTTATACTGCTCATATTGTGTATGTATATTTTATTTTATTTACATTTTGTCTTTTTTTAATTTGTATTGCTGTCCTGTACCCTACACTGCTATGACACTCCCAAACCCTAAGAAGTATATATACAGTATATACAGTATATATATATATATATATATATATATATATATATATATATATATATATATATACAATATCCTTTGGATAAAAAAATAGCTAAATTAGCCTCTTTTACACACTTGCAAGCGGCCTATTATATCGAGGAGAAAAATATCCGTAAAACATTTATTTTGGGAGCGTAATTAAAATCATATGATGCATAGCCTGATATATTGCCCCTTTGAATCTTTAATCATCAATTAAATATTAATAAGCTTAAATACAACCAATAAACAGCCAATAAACAAACAGTCACAACAATACACATATGAAACAGTCTTGGTTCTACATCAAGGAAATATACATCAGCAGTGGGTTCATGCACGTTCATCACATCATTTATTGAACGTGTTGCTTACTGTGTTGCTTTCTGTCCTCAGCATGGCTGTGGGAACTTCATCCGCGTGGTGCAGCCCTACAACAGGACACATCTGTTCATGTGCGGCAGCGGCGCCTACAGCCCTGTCTGTGTCTACGTCAACAGAGGACGGCGGCCGGAGGTAGCTTGCACAACACTCTCGAGAGATCTCTCGCTCTCTCTTGCTGTCTCCGACTCTCTATCTCTGTTTCTGTCTCAATTCAATTAAATCTGTTTTATTGGCATGACTGATGAAACAATATTGCCAAAGCATGTGGCAAAAATAACACAAGAAAACAAACAAGAAAAACATTATTACAAATAGATTAATGATAATATAAAATGAACAACATTAACAATGAACACATTATGAATACCAAATGAGTTGGTCGTCAAATTGTCTACCAACTAATAGTAGTCTCTCTCTCTCTAGTCTTGACACAGAGTCCAGAACGTTGGGTATCGTTGGTGTCTCAACTCACTACTTTATTATCCATGCGTTAAGACACAGGAATTGGACTTGTTTGTGGTGCAGACATTAAACATTGGACAGGAACAGTTAACATGACAAGACAGTCAACAAACGGCAGATAATGTGCAAACAACAACAATAAAAAAGCTCAGTTGAACCAAAATATAACTCATAGGAGCCATATAATGGAAGGGATGAGAGAAGAAATAGGGGGTAGGATAGTCAACTGTTGGAAAAAAAAGAGTCAAAAATAGAAGAAAAAAATAATAATTTCCTCTCACACACTTATTGTATGTTCGTACATCCTGGCACTTAAAATAGTACTTAGCATCGTGTAGCATCTCACCCTAGCTATCTTTGTTGTTTACGAGGAACGAGCAATTGAGTGTTTGAAACTTGTTCTATTGACATCCTTACTGTACCGACAGCAATATATTGTTGTTTCACTCTTCTGACAAAATGTACTTCACTTTGGACAAAAGCGTCTGCTAAATGCCTTGAATGTAAATGTAAACTGTTCAGGTTGTTTGACTCCCAGCTGAAAGAATCTGGGTTCAAATCCCAATGTCCGCCTAACCTGGAGCTATCCTTGAGCAAGATACCCGAACGAACCCCTACCTGCTCCTTAATGTATCAAGAAAAAAATATAAAAACAACCTCTAAGGCTTTGCATAAAATAGCGAAATTGACTAAATAGTAGGGGTGGGAAAAAAAGGAAAAAAAGTATTGCGATTTTTTTTTTAATACATTTTTTAATGCCTGAATCGATTTGATTAGATTTTTTCAACAGAATGTTTCTTGTTTTCACATTAAATGCATACAAGAAGTACACTACATCAACAGAAGCACGTAGCCTTCCCTTATACCCTCCCAGTATAGCAATGATGCTTCTGAAATAAAAGTCAGAAAGACTGACTGACATGTGATGTGCATTGTTTGTGGAAATATGCCTCATAAAAAGTCCCAAGAAGTGTATAATTCAACTATTTCCCATGGTCTAGTGTTAAAAAAGTAGAAATCGCCATAAATCGTAATATGGAATCGCAATAATTCTAAATCACATTACATATCGAATCGGCACCCAAGTATCGTGATAGTGTCGGGAGCAGACACTGTACTACTAAATAGTATAGTCTACATCGTGGGTGCTCCGGCGTTCCTCCCGCCAGCGCTGGACGGTTAGAGCTAACACTTATAGCCACAGAGCTCTCTCTGTCTGGCCCTGTCTGCTCTGCTGGCCCTTCTGTCTTCCAGTATGAGGCTTTTGTTTGAAAGGTGGCGTGCTCTGCCGTCTGACCTCTGCCTGGCGTCAGCGTCTCAGACAGGCCTCAGACTGTTAACGCGATGAGGTCGCTATTATGGGATGTTGGAGCCAACATGGGCCAAGTGTTGCACTGCAGGTGGGACTAGGTTACAGACTGGGTAGAGGGAGTGTGTGTGTGTGTGTGTGTGTGTGTGTGTTTATGTGTGTGTGTGGGTGTGTGTGCTCATGTCTCATTGCATTGTCTCTGTTGCCAATGCTAATAATAATGGAGGAGAAGGATAATGAATAATACAAATAATAACAATAATCATAATGATCATAATAATAATGATAATGGAGGAGAAGGATAATGAATAATTATAATAATGGAGAAGGATAAGGATAATGAATAATAATAATAATGGAGAAGGATAATGAATAATAATAGAGGAGAATGATAATGAATCATTATAATAATGGAGGAAGAGAATGATAATGAATAAAAAATAATAATGGAGAAGGATAATGAATAATAATAATAATAATAAATAATAATGGAGGAGGAGAAGGATAATGAATAATAATAATAAATAATAATAATAATGGAGGAGGAGAAGGATAATGAATAATAATAATAATAATAATAATAAATAATAATGGAGGAGAAGGATAATGAATAATAAATAATAATAATAATAATGGAGGAGGAGAAGGATAATAATAATAATAATAATAATAATAATAATGGAGGAGGAGAAGGATAATTAATATTAATAATAATGGAGGAGGAGAAGGATAATTAATAATAATAATAATAATAATAATAATAATAATGGAGGAGGAGGAGAAGGATAATGAATAATAATAATGGATGAGGAGCAGGAAAATGAATAATAATAATAATGATAGAGGAGAAGAAGGAAAATGAACAGTGCCGGATCAGTAACCCCAGGGGCCCCTGGGCACCGTCAGTCCAGAGGCTCAATGGGGTGGGGGTGGGGGGGGCGCGATTGCAATACAGCCCGGACCGACGTCCATGGCCATGAGGAAAAAATATATATATATACCCAATCGCAAAGGGCCCCTCTCGGCTCAAGGGCCCCTGGGCAAATGCTATATACTATATACCTCCGGTGCTACCGAAGGTATATAGTTGCGCGATTGTTGACCGGGGGGGGGGGGGGGGGGGGGGGCAATAGATTAACGGCGATAATTTAAAAAAAAAAAAAGTCTTTAAAAGTCTTGCGTTATCGCAGCGCGGTAACGCCGATAACGGCCCATCGCTAATTATTACTTTTAGACATTTTTATTTTCGAATAATTGATTCACATGTTAATGTTTAATTGTTCATGTGTAATTTTACAAAGCATTGAAAATTTAAATGACCACTCAAAAGGGCACTTTGGTCCTTCAGAGGGAAAAGGGCAGGGGCTCGGGCACCCATAGCCCCCCCCTCTGCACGTGCCTGATGAATAATAATAATAATAATAATGGAGAAGGATAAGTAATAATAATGGAGGAGGAGAAGGATAATGAATAATAATAATAATAATAATAATAATAATAATAATAATAATAATAATAATAATAATAGATAATGAGAAGGATAGCTTCACACACATCTCCACTAAAGTAAGCAGAACCACCGCTGATCCGATCTAAAAGAAACAGAAAAGGAAATTACAGTTTCCCAGGAAGTTAGAGATAGTGGAGGGTTTGGCTTTCAGTTTCAACTAACCTCGTTGTCTGTGCAGCACATTCTTTTGCTCCAAT